GGCCCCAAAATCCCCAGAACACGGCCCCAAAATCCCAAAAAATCCCCCCAAAAAATGCCCAAAACACGGCCCCAAAAATCCCCAAAAAATTCCCAAAAAAATGCCCAAACCAGCCCCAAAAATCCCAAAAAATATCCCCAAAAAATGCCCCAAAAACGGCCCCAAAATCCCAAAAAAATATCCCAAAAAATGCCGAAAAACGGCCCCAAAATCCCAAAAAATACCCCCAAAAATGCCCAAAACACGGCCCCAAAATCCCAAAAAATCCCCCCAAAAAATCCCCAAAACACGGCCCCAAAATCCCAAAAAATATCCCCAAAAAATTCCCAAAACGGTCCCAAAAATTCCCAAAAATGGCCCCAAAATCCCAAAAAATACCCCCAAAATATTCCAAAACTGGCCACAAAAATCCCCAAAACACGGCCCCAAAAATCCCAAAAAATCCCCCAAAAAATTCCCAAAACGGTCCCAAAAATCCCCAAAAGATTCTCCCAAATCCCAAAAAATCCCCCAAAAAATTCCAAAATGGTCCCAAAAATCCCCAAAAAACAGCCCCAAAATCCCAAAAAATTCCCCCAAAATCCTCAAAAAACGGCCCCAAAATTCACCTGAAAACGGCCCAAAAATCGCCCCCAAAACGGCCCCAAAATCCCCAAAAAACGGCCCCAAAAATCCCTAAAAACCTGCCCCAAAATCTACATAAAAATGATCCCAAAATCCCCAAAAATCCCCCCAAAATGAGTCCAAAATCTCCCTTAACCTGCCCCAAAAATCTCCCCAAAATTCCCAAAAAGTGGCAACAGGGACCCCAAAATCCTTTAAAATTCCCCCAAAATCCTCCCAAAACAACCCCAAAAATCCCCCCAAAATCCCCCCGAAATTTCTCCTCCGAAATCCCAAGTTTTTCACCTAAAACCCCCCAAAATCCCAAATTCCCCCCCAAATCCCAAAATTTTCACAGAAAACCTCTCAAATCCCCAAATTTCCCCCCAAAATCCCAATTTCCCCCACAAAATCTCAAATTACGCCCCCAAAATCCCAAATTTTGCCCCGAAAATACCAAATTTTCTCCCAAATCCCAAATTTCCCTCCCAAAAACCCACAATTTCCCCCAAAATCCCAAAATTTTCACCTAAAACCCCCCAAACTCCCAAATTCCCCCCCAAAATCCCAAATTTTCCCCTAAAATCCCCAAATTTTCCCCTAAAATCCCCAAATTCCCCCCAAAATCCCCAAATTTTCTCCTGAAACCCCCAAATTTTTCTCTAAAACCCCGTTTTTACTAAAAACCTCAAATTTTCCCCCTAAAATCCCCAAATTTTCCTCTAAAAACCCCAAATTTCCCCCAAAAATCCCAAATTTACCCCAAATTTTCCCAAATCTGCACTTTTTTCCCCCAAATCCAGGTTCCTTTGGGCTCCATCCCCGTGTCCCCAAACCCCCTAAAACCCCCCTAAAATCCCCAAATTTTCCCCCAAAATCCCCAAATTTTCCCCTAAAACCCCGTTTTTCTCCCTAAACCCCGAATTTTCCCAAAATCTCCTTTTTTCACCCCAAAACAGGCACCCTCGGGCAGGATGACCGGCTCCATCCCCGTGTCCCCAAACCCCCTAAAATCCCCCCTAAAATCCCCAAATTTTC